AACAATGGTGTATACAAATCTCCAGTAACTAAAGATGTGGTGTTACTTAACCTTTTATGTCTCTCTGTATCTGTTACACATTAACACCCAGCTGTGAGCTGTTGTCCATGCTTATCTGTACAGTTGAAGCAGTTTGAGTTTTCTGATTTGATTCTGCTAATTTGTTGTTGGGTATGGTTACTACTGTATGAAACCTCTTCTGTGAGTCTGGAGGCCAACACTGTACTCCTATGAGTACATTTTGTTATTATGTGAATGTTCTCTGTGCATAAATGAGGGTCTAGGATGTCTGGGTGACAGTTCTACATATAGCACTAGCATAACACCTTCCACATACCAGACCCTGTGTGCAGTGAGTAGCATACTGCAGTAGATGAATTCTCTCTCTAACTGTGTTGCAGTGACAAAGAAGGGCAGTAATATCACCAATGAAGAATTAGTGTCCTGGTTTATGCTTAGACATCGAAGGCAATATTTTATTTCGTGTCATCAATGCCTAGTGATGCACAGCAGATACAGCAACACTTATGTTGCGGCACGAGCTCCCTTATGAAAAGTGTCTTTAGCATGGAAGAACTTTCAGCTGATAGGAGGCCAGGTCTGGGAATTACAGAGAGAAGGGAGAGTATATCAGATACTCACATTGAAGCAAGTTGTTACCTGAGGATTTTTGGTTGATGTGACCATGCCTCAAATTAAGGTGTGAGAACCAGAGCGGTAATGGAGTCCCAATAGGTACTCCCTGCTGCCACCTCCACTTTGCTGCATCAAGCCATTCCCAGCTGATGCATGCCAGCAGGAGTTATTTCACTCTGTTAAAGAAAAAAAACCCAAACCTGGCATGAAAATGATTGCCCCAGACTGTTGGAGCATGAACTCAAAACCTGCATTTTATATGCTTCTGCCTCAACAACCATTGATGATGATGATGTTGTGCCTAAACAGAAAACTGAGATCATCTTTCTGCAAGGAGATGAGGAATTTTTGGGCAATAGAAATAGAACTTGCATTTTACATAGTAGCTTAGTTATCACTAAAAATATGTTAGATTATGTAGATGAGTTTTCATATAATGCTTTATCTTGCAAGCGATGTCTCCTTTCTGCTGTATGTGCAACTGAGTTATTTACACTATAGATGCAATTTGAAACTTTACTCAGTTTACAGGATATTGTCGTATGCTGCTACTTTTAGTCAAGTTTAATTAGATCAAGATTAGGCTGTCTAGGGCTGGGTTGTCTGATTTATTTGCATTTGCAGTGAAATCAAAAAATGAGTTGCCTCCATCTAGGTAGTAATAGACTGTTTTGAAGAAAGATATCTTTGAAGGCAAACTGGTAATTAATTATACAAGGTGTTGTTATACAAGTTATGTAGGTGTGCTTTATAAGATTCTTCAGAAGTAGAGATTTGCAAAAAGCTCTTTCTAGCCCTGCTAGCCTAAAATACTAATTTTGAAGCATATTATCCTTTGAAATATGAGACAGTAGTAATCCTGGCTTTTTCTAGTTGTTGAAATTGGGACAAAAACGTGTTCATTGAGTCCTATGCTTTATGAAAATTACTTAAATCCATTTTGTTTTTAAACTGAAATCTTTCAGGCAATAGACCTGATTTTCATTTCACGTATGTTGGTGTCAAATCAGAGTAGCTCAGAATTTTTCAGTTTGCAACTTGGGTGGAGACTGATTTTAAATCACATTTTAGTGGAGAGACCCTTATGAATGCTAGCATAGTCATAACAGCCCTTTGAATACAATTTTTTTCAGTTTGGTCAACACCTCTCCCCTGCAAATATACACTTTCAAATGCCAGAATTTTATCAAACCACAATGAAATATGTATTTTGAAGTTAGCTCTTGTCACAGGCATTTGTGAAATCAAAGATTTACAGAGTTTAGGTCCACTTACTACAATTAATGTGCCATTTCCTAAATCTGTCAGCTTCATAGGCTTCTGGACTGAGTCCTGGGTTGATGACAGTTAGGGAGGACAGTTCAGGCCATTAATCTAACCATGCCAGTACCTGTGCTGCCTACATAGCCAGAACCTTTTTCTTTCTGCCCTGGACCCTACATTCTCCATAGCCGTGAAATACTGCACAAGTGGCTGTCTTACTCCTCATTCCAGGAGATCAGTCAGGGTCTACATATCTCTGTCTAAGTATTCAAATACCTTGTCTAAATGTCTTTGTCAGAAACTTTAAAGAACCAACATCTCTCCCTCATCTCACCCCTATCATCTTTTTCAAATAACTTCTTGTTTCTTGGAAAAAAATGGTTTTCTTCTGCCAACAGTAAACTCATTACATCCCAATTCCATTTAATTCCACTCTCTTATTCATGATGTTTCAGTAAAAGGACTATGTACATATGTGTGTCTGAGGGATGTCACTTCATTGTGACTGTGTGACAGAAAAAAGTACCATAGAGCCAGATTCTTCCCTCCCCTAAAGAAAATGCAGTCGTCTTAGGTGTTATATTTTCTTACAAACAGTCAGGTTTTAAAAATAAAAGTAAAATTTTTAAATATCATGGAAATGAAGCACCACTTCGTCTTCCTCTGCTGATAAATTGGAGCAGCATTTAACAAGACAGTCTGATTCTGTGCTGTATTAAAGGGAAAGGTCATTGTTAGCTGTGGATATTAAAAAAAAAGGTTTAATTCTCTGTGTGCAGCCATTTTAATGTAAAGTCAAAGTTAAAAGGTGGTTGTCATGGGTGAAGTGCTGTTGAAAGTACCAGCCTTGCCAACTGTTTAATTTTAAAATTATTTCTTTCACTTAACTCCATATAATAACAGCAGCTTTCATTTTACTTTACCCACACACATCACACATCCTTCACCCTAATGAAAAACACCTGAAGGACTTAGCTGAACAAAACATGAATACTTAGTAAAACCTAGCGAGGCTTGTTACTTCTGACTTCATACATCATAGCTCTTTTTTTCAAAGATACTGCCTACGGAATGAGAGTCACAAGTACGTTGCCTCAATCAGATGCAAAGGGCAGTCTCCTTGGTACTCTCTCCGAGAGAGGCTTAAACACAGCATTCCATAAACCAAAATATTTCTTATAGGCTTGTGATTTCTGCCAAAACAATTAAATATTTTGGTGGTTGTTTGTTTTTGTTTTTTTTGTTTTTTTCCCAAAACAGTTATCCCTGAGAGATCTGTTGAGATCTCTCTCTTTCATGAGCATTTTTGTGGAGATAGCCTTTTGAAGGACCTTGTCCTTGGATGCTAGGTGAAGGGTAGCAAATGCAAAGCAAGCACTGGCATTCTTCAGCTTCGTTACAGTGCCATCAGATGGAACAGGATGATCTCCGCATGCCAAACCAAATTTTTGTTGAATTAAGTCCTCAAGTGTAAAAGGTGAAGTGCCTGCCTCTTTGCTTTCGCAACAGAAGGCTTTTCAGCTTCTGCAACATAACATTAAAAAACCCAAAATCTGCACAGTTGCATGTAAAGAATTTAACTCTTAAATTTACTAATGTTAAAGGAGAAATTTAGTGTTTAGAAGATGTGTTTGAAGATTGCAAATAGAGCCATAAGAATAAAAAAAACCTGGAGAGATTATATCTTTGCAATTCCAAATAAATAACTGAAAAAGTATGTTGAAAAATTATGAGACTTTCTATTATTCTGCTATATTTTGTTAGCAGGGCAATATTATATTGATAGTTGTGTTCACCTTGTTAAAATATTTTGCAATTAGACTCCTTACACTAATTTCCCAATATTTTTCCACTTGAAAAAGGATATCATTGAGTGCTTTAATAAATTTCCCTATGAGAGTGCATTAATTAGGGAATAATTTCAAGTGAAAGTTCATGATAAATAAAGGGGTGGCAAATTCATAATGAATTCAATATAAATAAATTCATATAGGCATTTTTTGGGTTTAAATTCAGCCCTATTGTAAGATTAACAGGTTAGAACAAGCTTAATTTTAAATACTGAATTGGTACATAGTTACAATACAGTTCAAAAGATGCTTGCCTACCCCTAATCATCCATATTGATACTCAGATAAATTGGAAAGTGTCTAATCCTTCTGGCGAAGGGAGTTACACATTTGAAGCTGTGTATCATTCCAAATGTTTTAATAACGTCAGCATATGAAATGTTGTGGTGCAGGAATTTACTTGATAATTGTCTTGAGTCATATAGCATTAAGGGAATCGTAGATTCAGGAGGTAATTCGTGTTGTAAGACACCTTAGTAGGCCATTTTATCCAGCCTCCTTCTCAAAGAGTACAATTTAATTGTTTTCAATATTCTGTGATAATTTAGGGATTGACCCAAATCATGAACTAAACTAGATTGTCTTGAGGTTGGGCCAATGATATAGGATTCAATTTATATAAACCAATGCATTTTTGATCTGTGAGGACAGGATTTCTAGGTTCTGTTAGTGAGCTAAAGGGCAGAAGGTCCAGATCTCAAATAGCACATGCATGATGTAAGTAAAAGAGAGCTTATTAGTGGAATTCTGTGAACCATGCACTGAAATAAGTATGTTTGGACATGGCCAATAAACCGTGTCTGGAAGAAGAAAGATTTTAGAACTGACTGTTGGAATTTCCTTTTCACTGAAACTGATACTTAACTCTTTGAAATTACTTGATTACTGCAAGTCAATTTCTCTTTGTAGCCATTAGGTAGAACTGATTTTAAAATCTGTATAGAAGAGCACACAACTGAATGGGGGGGGAGTGGGGGGTGTGTCTCTTTCCATATGGGGAGAGTCAAGAATACTGCTTAATTTTCAATTAAATCATAAAAGCTCTGAAAGTGTTGATGTAATGTGGTGGGGATTTGCCATGGCTTCTTTGCACCATTGTCTTGCTTTCAAAGAAGCTCTCAAATCTTTGGTGCAATTTATTCAGTTCATTTTCTATGTCAGTATGTTATTCTGCAATGTCAGGACCTAGGTCAAAATGCCTGAGAGTTTGACAATCACTATTTTTTTTTCTGCTTTATCTGAATTCGATAGAGAGTTTTCCAAGGAAAGAGAAAAAGCTAAGGCCCGAGGGGACTTTCAGAAGCTACGTGAAAAACAGCAGCTTGAAGAAGATCTGAAGGGATATTTAGACTGGATTACACAGGCAGAAGACATTGACCCTGAGAATGATGAAGAGGTTGATGAAGAAGGCAAGCGGAACAGTACGTGTTCTTTACTCTGTACTACTACGCTGTGGGGCAGTTTGACTGCTTTTAAGGATGTTACATTGGGGTGTATCAGCCTATCTGATGTCGCTTTCTGATTTCCCATTTGCAAAAGTGTTTGTTAGCAGAGCAATCATGTCTGTTAATATATTAAAAGTTAGTCATAATACATTAATAGAAACTTACATCAAAATTCTGCTCTGAGCTGTTCATGTGCAAATCATTGTCTGCACTCAATCTCTGCTGAGACTTTAAAAACTTTGTTTATCTGTGTTCTGTAAAAAGTTAGTGTGTACAAGCTGTGTGCCACTAAGTATCATCGTAAATCCTTAGTCAAGAAGAATATGTGTTTGCCAGTATGTGCATGTAATAGAAATAATAATAACATAAAAAGCTTAAAAAATATGGCCAAAACTACAGATAAGAAATAACCTTGTGCTAATAGTGAGGATTTTCTTTTTAGTTGTGAAATAGGAATATGATGTTCTGGATCTTTCTTTCTGATATTTAAGAAAACAATATAAAATCTTTTTTACTAGATGTATTATCCTGAGTGTGAAATAAATTAAGTCTTGTGGGATTTTTGTATAATTAGCACTTACAGTGTATTTATTCAACAGTAGTGTATAGTCTATTGTGGGAAAGGTAATTTATGCTGTAGTGGCCCTGTGGTGCTTCTGACCTGAGTCCTAACATAAAGGAACAAGTTAATTTCATGATATTGCAACAACTGTAAAAGTGATAATTTATTTCTCTATGTCAGAAATTTTGAGTGACAGCAGTATTATAATGTCATTGTTTAATAGATGTTATTTTAGCCTCTTAGCTGTGTTTACATAGTAGCAGTTAAAATTTTCATGAGAACTTTTAGTACGTAAATGAGAACATAGATTCAGGATGTGGTTTACGATTTTAATACTAAAGATTAAAGCCAAAATTTCAATATCTGTACTAATGCTAAATAGCACCTTATTATTCATGTGATACTGCAGAAAGTCATGGTATTTATTCATTTAGATACCATTGAGTATATTAAGAAAACATATCTACAAGTGGTTTGTCAAAGGCAACTCAGAATGTTATTTTCTGTATTGAAAGAATATGTTATTACTGTTCTTTTTCTTATGATGCTGCTAATTTATTGTGAGCTGTTCTTTTAAACCATAGTACTTTTCAGAAGTAGTAAAATAGTGAAAATTACATGGTTTGATACTGAGATATCTGTTTTTAAACATATCTCTGTTTTGCATGTAGTCAAGGTTTTTAAAATATCTATATTTTTGAGTTTCAGAATTTTATTAGTCCTTTAGTTGACAAGAAAAGCAGGGTATGAATCTGTGTTACTGACTGGAAGGAAACAGTTTTATGAGAGGCTGGAGGGGAACTTGTGGGTTTATGTTGATGGTAGCATCACCCAGAAAGGAACAATTTATCTATATGAGAATCTGTAACACAAAGAGGATTTTTAACTGGAGCAGAGCAAAAAAGTCAGAGAGTTCACTGTAATTCGTTATTGCTACTGATGTTGTGTGGAAGAGGATATATTAAATGTGGGTTTGACTATCAGTATAAAATCCTAAGACTGAGAAGTAAAAGATTGCATGTTATATGGAGTAAATACACTTCATACAAGATTGCCATGCAGAATTGTGGGCGATGCCCAGTTTGCACAGACTGTCGGACTGCCCCACTGTCAGCTATGGTGCTGATGGACTTGGTTTGCAAGTCTGCAAGTGAAACCCCAGGAACTTTTTGCATCCTGTTCACATTGGATGTTTGATAATATGCTGCAAAAGAACCATTTGCTCCAGCGTTCCTTAAACAGCTTCTAGGTCATACAGGTCTTTCCTAAATCAAAAATACTCGTTTGCATAGTTGTTGAGTTTGAGAGCTTTTGGCTTTAAACTGTTAACTTAGACATAATTTTAGGGTAAGTTAAGATTTGGAGGATACTTGCAGAGTAAAAGTGGGAGAATGAAAGTAATTAAGAGAACTTTAAACCAAATCACAAGAATTTAATTTCAGGCATGCATATGTATTTTGAGTGGAAATATCCAGCAAATTGACAATCTCCAAGCACTTCTCTGGGTTTGTACACATGTGCTTAAATATGTGGCTTGGAATTGCATTTTTAGTATCAGCTGCAAAAGAGTGTAAAGGAGGAAGCGTTGCTGAATTGCTCCACCTCCTTGCACTGAAGACATGCTCTGCTGTGTATCATGTTGCATGGGGAGGTATGATGAGAGGCAGCACAAGATATCTATCCAGTTATTCCATGGGAAGCTTTTGGGTTAGGAACATAGTTATGATAGAGAGCTACCTGTTTGGGAGTCAGGTGAAATTTATCTAGTTATCACCAGGTTAATAATCTTGAGTAGTAAGCTTAGGAAATAAATTTAGTCCAAATATACTGATGATGTGTTTCTAGAACTGTCTTTGAAGCGTAAGGTAGGGCAGCATCCCAAGACAGGCAGAATAATCATTTGCAGGCTTCTAGGCAGCTGGGTTGCTACTTTGAATACCTAAACCTCTGGATGATCAAGATTATTGCTGATTTATGGTGATAGAAGATCATCATAAAGCTCTTCAGCGATGTGGAAGAGCTCTGGGTTTAGGATACAGAAGATCTTTCTGTGACAGGAGAAGATACTTATTTCAAAGGCAGTCAAATCAGTGATTAGCAGCTTCTTACATAATCTTTAAAAATGTAGTTTATGTTCCTGCAACTCCAGCATTTTAAAATTTCTAACCAGAGAAGTCATTAAGTCATTTATATATGAACCCCCTGTATTTGTACATCTCTGTTGCTGATAGTAGGCAGGTATTCAGTGCTGTTAAATAGTGGAATCCCTTTCAACTACTAGAATTGTAAATATGCCTGTAGTAAAAGTCGTAAGTCTTTATTACGAAGCAATATCTAGTTACCCTGAAGCCAATTAGAAAACTTCCATTGACTTCAAAGCATTGCGAATTTAGCTCAAAATGCGAACATCGGTGAGAGGTGAGGGATTTAACTCTGATTAGTTACGCTGCCGGTAATTTCAATTTGTTTTGCCTAATATTGCCTGTGTGGTACGTACGGACACATTTTTATTTTTTGCGTTGCAACTGCTGCCATCTGCTGTGTAAATGCTGGGATTACATGTACCTAACACGAAGGGGTTACATTGGCTGACTTAATGGAAGAGAAGAAGAAAAGCAGACTTAGTTGCTTTGGCCGTTCTTCCAATAAACATGGTAAAATGTTCTGATGTGCAGTTGAACTTTCTCTTGTTCCAATTACTGCATTTGATGTGTTAGCTTTTGAAAGCAAATATGTACACATTTTCTATAACAAAGGCGTAATAGCTTTAGCATGTAGACTCTCATGCATGCAGTTCTGCTGTTCTAAGTGCATGTGGTGCTGCGGTGCTCTGCCTTCTTAAAACATACTCTTCAATCCCTTTAGATTTCCACTGAAGCGTGTTTGTCTGTGACTTCTTGTTGAAGCGTAGTTTTTCTCTTTTCAAGAGTCAGGTAAACCAGATACAAAAATGTATTTTAAATTAAGGTGTGAAAAAATTAATCAAAGTCTTTTACAAACTTCATAATGGACCATAATGTAAGCTTAGAACAGTATGATGATGATAATATTTACTATTTATTTATAATACTTTTAATGTATAATCTAACAAAACATAACAAACTTTTACTGTTTGTTATGGGTGGTTTCGTTTCTGTAATTTGTGTGTATTCAATTTTTTTCACATCCACAATGGAGATGGACAGGGGTTTTAGAGTATGATAGTTATTTTCAAATCTGCACTCTCTTAATACTGACAAATATACTGATTTGACGTAATCGCAATTGCAGTAATTAGGAGGGCTGGTTTTAATCCTACTTACAACAAAGTTGTTGAAGCTACTGACTTCCTTGCTGTCCTAAGAATCACTTTTGTGGCTCGGATGGAGGCTGACAAATCTCATCCAGTTACTTTAGAGAATGCAGAATATTAAGTCAGAAACTGCTAGGACCCGATGGACTCATTTTCTACAAATGTTGAGTCTGCTTGAAATTATCTGTGTAACAGTTACATATATTGTCTGACAGCTTGCACAGCTTTACAGGCTGGGATAATTTTTCTATAGAAATTGCTAAAAGACAGTGGTTGCAATTTTGCTTTGGATATGTTTCAACATAGCCTTTAAACTAGCAGGTTCAGGTTCTGTTGTCAGTCAGTCATGAAGCAGCATGTAACTGTCTGAAAACGCTGTCGTCTGCTGGCCGCAAATGCTGTCGTGCTGCTAGTACCTGACCTTGCCAGTCAAAAGCATTCTCAAACATGTGTGCACTGACTTAGTTTCATCTGTCTTTTGCAGGGCATGTATACCTTTTATGATTAGGATTTTTCCAAATTACAAATTGGTGGCCTAAGTATATTTCTCTGTTTGTGAGGCTGTTACGCTGATCCTAGTAGCTCAGACTTAGACAGCTACTGGATTAGAAATCCCACCCTAAATACTTTTTTTTTTGGTTTGTTTTACCTCTGCCTCTATTTCTATTAAAAGCACCACATCTGTAGAATATACAACAATCCCAAGATTCATAGTGCCATCCTTCAGGCTAGAAGTGGTTGGTTCAGTGAGGCTTCTGTAATGAAGACTGATTAATTTGCTCTCCTTCCACTGCTATGCAACCGTTCAACCTTATGTTGAGTTTCCATGGGCTGCCTATAAAAAGAGGAAGCCTGTAAGAATGATTGCTGATAGTATCAACATTAAATCTGCACTATGAAAACAGATACCTCGCTACAGTCTCATGTAGAACATCTTCCAGGCAGCCCCTCCTTAAACTGAATTTACCCTGAGGAGCTTCACAGTCAGAAGAGATAGTGCCACTTCTTTCTGATGTGTTTTCTGGGCATACAGCAGACTTGGGAAAATTTGAGATTAATTTGTGATGATAATGTTGCCTCTTTGGGGATTTTTTTTGTTCTGTTTTCTTCTTTGACTACCTCAGATTTGGTGTAAAGGATTCAGAAAAATCCATGTCATGATTTGAGAAAGAATTAGGGAAATTTTGGGGCTCATGGATTTGGTTGGGTGTTACTAGCAGACAGAAAGTGATCATTTTGCAAGATTGATCTAAAACTTTGCCTTTTTTAATAATTGTAAGATTCTCTCCAGTGGCTTTTACTGAGTATCTGACTAGCTGCGCGGATCACTCTATTTCTTCAGCATATGTAACCAGAAAGCTACTCAAGGTGCATCAGTGTGGAAATGAGATCAGCCTATGGATCAAAAATGCATAGCTGAAGTTGAACCACATTAAAATATTAATTATATACTTTCTAGAGAAAAACATTTCCAACTATAATACTTGCCACCACAATTCTGTATTTCAGGGTGTAATTTAACCTGCTTCTGGATTCTACAGTGACACTAAATTGTCATATAACAGGATTATGCAATTTGTTTCTTCCAACTCCAGCTGACTAGGACATACCAATGCTGATGGACACTGACCTGCTCTTAGCTGTGCATTAGTTATGTTATGTCCTGGAGCAGAATTTGAAATCCCTTCTCCAAAACCTGAAAACTGTTTAGAGTAAATAGTGAACATTATAACATGAGGAAAACAATCTATTTTCTTATCCGCAGAAATAAAATGTAGTAGCTGATATATTTGACCTGTTTTCTATATACTCAGGAAAGCATTAAGCTGCATGCTATATGGGTTATTTATATTGCCTAATGCAAGCTTTCTTTTGTTTGAACCCAGTTACCATAATTGAAGAGCTGATACTATCTAGAAATCTAGATAACTTTTTATTGACAGAAGAATGTCAATAAAGTAGGGGCAAAAGTTGAATAAAGAATAGGGAAAATTTGGTATTTTCTTTTGAATATTGGAATACCAGTTTAAAGATCCCAAAGCTGGCCTTACTGAGATCAGACAGTCTTTCAAAAGTTCATTCTGTGTGCTGTACTTTGCCTAATGAACACTGCCCTTAAAAAGCTGTGGTCATGAAACTGAGTCTTTTCAAGACTTGCCAGGTTGCTTGCCTTAGAGAGAGTGGATGTGGTCATACAGTGCTGTTGTTGTTTTCTTCTGGCTAAAGATTTAATGACTTGCTAGCATTGCTGGAGCTAGACTTCCACGTGGTGCCTTTCTCAGTACTTCTGTCAAGTTTTTCTTCTGACATACAAATTACAGTATAATGACAGCTGAGTTTCTAATGTAAACCGAACTGTCTGTGGTTCTTTTCCTCTTCTGTTTTTGTAACACAGCACCTGCAAGTCACTAATAGAGCAACAGCCCTGTCTGAAATAGAGAGTAACATTCTGGCTGTGTTTAATAATTAGCAGAACTGACACTGGCTTCAAGAGGGACAAAGATTTTTTTCTTTTTCCTTTGGTATTTTGTTTTTCATCATGCAGTCATGTTCAAAAAGGGCTGGTATTTCTTACTATGGATTAACATGTCAAGTCTGGGTAGACTTGAATTAAGATTGTTACTTTACACTTTTTTAAATAATTTGCCATTTATTAAAACAAATATAATTTGTGTGACACTGACACTTTATGAGGAATGGGATTCTAGGTACTGCTTTTAGATGAGAGAGGGCTTGATAAATTTGAAACGCGAGTGTGAGAGACATGTTGCTCATATGTAATACTTTCAAAAGTGGGCCTAGCTCTATTTTGATGGCAGCTCTTAATAACAGTCTATGAAACAAGACTTCTGCACTCATATTTTGCAGTTGCCCATCGTAAGTACTGAAACGTTCATCATTAGATGGCTATAATGTTGTGTTTCCTAACAGCATGCAAGTCACCCAGCACAAGACAACTGTTTCAGTTCTTTACTGGACAGGGAAACTCCTTGCATTTATTGCAAAAGATCCTGGCATTTTTAAATAAAACCTCTTAGTTCTGAAGATCTGAGACTATGTCTGAAATAGTTTCATAATTATATTTTTTCTTAAACCCTTTGAAATTTTAGTACTTGAATTCGGATATCATCAAAGATTGTTTGCTTCACTTTTGAATGAAATGCCTTTTGAACTCTGTGACTGTGAAGTCTACACAAGACTAGCAATATTAATTTTTTTAAACTGATTTATAAAGAGAAGCATGGTATTAGAATTGAGGCACTTGCAGGTGCTAACCAGGAATTTTTCATATATAAAGCAGTTGCAATAATATTTTAAAAGATTGATCAAAATAGAAGAATCTTATGAAAGAAGATTTTAATATGCTTTCTGCCTGAAGTGCCTTCTTTATTCAAACACCTGCATGGACATTTCAGATCTTTCTTTCTTATGTGAACTGTGTTTAACATTTCATGTAAAGGTGACTTAAATTTATGGGGACAGATTCTCAGCTTTTCCAAATAATAACTGAGCATCTACCCTGCATAAATCTGTCAGTCTCTCAACTTGGATGGAATTGGTGGGCATGGAAACCAAACTGCCCTTTACCACTTCCATGTATCTCTGTGTCAGTGTTGAGGCAATATAAAGGCTGTGCACAGAAACTGTTATTAACATTCTCATTTTGTACCTGATCTGTAGACAAATCAGAAAATTCAAGGTCTGATACTGGAGTCTTACTTATATTAAGATGTGTGTAATTAAGCCTCCTTTAGGCTGCCAAAATAGTGAGACATCCCTAACAGAAATAGGCATTGTAGCCCTTCTGCCTTCAGTACTCTCAGTCCACAGACATTGGCTTAACCCCCCAACAATGAAACAAATTTAAAAAAACCAAAAAAGCAAACCATCAAAACAGCAGAAGGTATACCCCAGAATACCTTTAAGATACTCTGTTTTTCTTTTGTTCTTGCTGTTCCGTAATAATTTCAGTGTATCTTCCATCTCTCTTATTTTTTCCTACTTTATATGATATTTCTACTGTACAAACCACCAACATTAATTTACACTTTTCTTGTTACTGGGGTTTTCCTTTCATGCTTGCTTTGCAGACATGGAAGTAGTGTTCTCTTCTAGGAAGTACTGAGAACTTTAGCTGTTCATTGTTTCTTAACACCTTTTGACATAGGTTGTCGTCCCTCTATATTTCAGTTGATTTGAAGATAAACACTGATGATCAATCTGCAAATAATTTTGTCTAAAAATCCACTAGCAAATATTGCTAACTGTTAGTCATGATCCACTATATGTACAGTAATTCACTGTCACAAATGTAATAATCCCCTTTTTATTAGCAGTAATTCTCATAATCCTTGTAGTGCCCATTCTGTTGTTCCCAGTGCTCCTTCCTATCTGCTCATATAGTATTTGCAGGTACAGTTACTTTCTAGCATCTTGCCTTGATAATTCCTAATGGAAGTAAAAGCATGGAGTCATCCCTATGATTGGAGTATGATAGTTCCTATTTTCAGAAGAACTTTGATGAAGTTTCTTGGAATTAGTGAGCATGTTAACGACACTTAAACTGATAAGCACCTCCGAAGTGTTAACAGAACACTGCTTAAATGAGAGGCCACAAAATGTAGCTCAGGTTTGTTTCTTTACTAGAGGTAGCATGCTATTTGCCACAAACCTCCTCTACATTGCATTCTGTAGTGCATTCTCAACAGTTATGTTGAATCATTGAAAAGAAGCAAGAATGCTACAATACACTCTGGAAATCTGTGTGCTTTCTTTTGCTGTAAGAGGAGGACTGATGAAGTGTCTAGCTTTATCTGCTGTTCCTCAGATCTTCCAGTCTCTCATTAGACCTGCAAAAAGTGGAAGCATTCTTGCAATAGAACAGGAGATCACATTCTGTGTAGTGCCTTGCTTGGCTATCAATCTAAAGCAGTTTCTGTCTCCTAACAGCAAGCATGCCCACCAGTGAAACTGAATCAGTCAACACAGAGAATGTGAGTGGTGAAGGAGAGAACCCAGCATGCTGTGGGAGTTTATGGTGAGTACACGGGCTGTTTTCAAGTGCCCACGCTCATCATCTCAAAATTTAAAAGAAACATTATTTCCCCATTGTTTATTTAGCCCAAACTGCTTTCAAACAGTCAGGCTTTGTATGATGCTTGGGGTTTTTTTTTTTTGCCTTTCAGTAGTTTAATATTAGACCAATTATTACAGCATTAAAGCACTCCTAAAATTCTCAAGTTAAGATTTAAAACAATTCAACTAAATGTCCAGTGGAGTAATTTTTTCGTGAAAGTTTTTATAAAATAAACTTGTTGTCCAAAATAATAAGAACAGAAGTCCCCTATGATATCTAAAAAGAAACATTTTCTGTTAAATTGTGCATGATTTGGAGAATTTTTTTTTAGGCAATAACTGAATGTATGGGTGTATCTCCGTATTCCATGGTGGTCACTATTTATTTGCTCAGATTTTCATCACTTCCAAGCAGCTTCTACATGAGGACTTTATTTTCTTAGTTTTGAAGGAGATTTCCTTTCTTTCACTTAGAAAATTTGTAAATCTTTAGGAATAAAGAAAATAAATAACAGACAATAAAATTTCAGCATTCATGGTGCATCTTGTTAAAAGCTTACTTTTATGTAATTCCAATATATTGACTTGCAAAATTCTGAAGAGAATGAATTTGTGTTAACTATTTTTTCCACATTCTTAAAAATATGCTTTCCTTTTCTTCTAGTCAAACCATCTCAAAATCCAAGTTCAGGTCAGTATTTTTCGCTCTCTTCATTGCTTTTTTTCCTTGTGACTATTTACACATTATGATGATCTCATATAATAATTCTTTGTTTACTATACTTTAAATTTTACTGTGTGAAAATTCTTCCTAACAATTACTGGTGAATACAAAAGTAAGGTATCCATGAGCACTTTTGGAAATCAAACTCCCTGATTTGCTTTGCTGATATTTGTGGCTCTCTTTTACACTTATTAAGGAATAATAAGTAATAACTCATTTGGGAATGAGAGTTTCTATTTTCAAGTACGTTTGCAGAAGGGAAGTGTTATAAGCAAAATTAATAGTCCTGATATTGTAGACACTGAGTGTGCCAGTGCGAAATCAATATGTTTCTTTATTTTTATTTTATTTTCCAGTCTTATAGGACATATATTTAGTAATTAGGAAGGATAATTGCAAACACAGAAGAGATACCTCTTTCTGTTTAAAAAGGTTAGGCTACTCCATGAAGAAACAACAAAAAAAAACCGCTATGTGATCTAAGGTAAGTAATCAAGTGGTAGACTTAGTGAATCACAAAGGGCAAAGATACTCCTACAGTTGCAAACAACCCACAGAATAAATATTTTTCACAGAAAATTTTCAGTGGAAAAAAAGGGACAATCAAGAAGATTTGGCAACATCTGGCATCAGCAGTTTTGGCAACATCTGGAATCATTTCACTTTTTTAACCCTAGTAAAACTGATTTCAGTGTTGGATGTGTGGCAAGTAATTCATTGGTAACAGCAGTGTATTCTCCTTGCAGCAATGAAGAGGAATAGCATACCCAGGTTTATTCTACTAGCTTTACTATCTCTAATGACCTACCAGCGCTGACCAGTTGCGAACAGTTGGAGTGGACTTGTGTTCCTTCT